GCTAACAGTTTCTTCTCTCACACTTCTTGCCTTTGGAACTCTCTTCTGACGTCTCACTGGAGATCAGCGGATATCGTCAACTGACGTCTCACTGGAGATCAGCGGATATCGTCAACTGATTATTTAAACTTTTTCCAGTGATATGGGCATAATTCATGATTTGAGTCTAAATGACAAAAGTGTTTTCATGACTTTTCTGATAAAGAAAAAAATTTAAACTTCTGAAACCCTCTTATCAAGACTTGATGATTTATTAGGCTCAGTATTCTTATTATTTCAGTTTGGCTGGTTAATTCTCCAACCATCTTTAGGTAAATTTTTCATCCTGTGGTCCAGTGATGTTGAGTTTTATAAATTGTAGTAAACAAATATGGTGGTGCAGTTGGCACAATGGTTATCAGTGTGAAAAATAGAATTAGTGAACAGAGTTCAAATTCCAACTGAGGCTGTTTATATTCATTTTGTTGTAATACCTTTAGGAAAGGCATGAATACATTTCTTCTTTCTTTAGCTATGATGAGTTAAATACTTGGGTAGATATTTGGTACAGAGCAACCAGTTCAGGAGAAAAAAAACTCTAGATTTAAAAACTGGCTGTTTCTCTAGCTTCTGTTGATAACCAGTTAAAAACAACTTTGAATTCCAAACCATGGAAAAGGTAGCAAGAAACCACTTCTCAAGAACAGTCATGACAATGCACATTTTACAGATAAAGGAAGCTGTGGAGAACCATGATAACCTATATTCTAAAGGAATATTATACTTAAAATATAAAAGAAAAATATGAAGACAGAATTTTAAAGTACTGAAAAAGATGATTGTGGATATTTACTCCAGCTTCTGGTCATTATTCTATTGTGATATCATTTTGCCTACTGTTTGAATTTCTAAATTGCATCCTATCATCTCTACAGTATCCATTTGAAGGACAGCTCTTTTGGATGTTGGGGCTATACTGTTAACTTCTGAGAAAACAATCAAGATATTCTCATCATCATCATTTCCATGATCAGGTGTGGTTGTAGGGTTACTGTGCAGTTGGCCACCTGACCAGCTCCCTTTATATGTCTTGGTTGCATGCCAATCATTGGGTCTTTCCAAATGATCTTCCAGTCACAGTGACATCGTCAGACCATTTTTTCCTCTGTCTGCCTTTTCTTCTTTAGCCTTAGGTGGTAACTTTTAAAATGGCAGTTGAAAGATTGTTGGCTCCTATGACGTAGCTATACCCTCTCAACTTTCTCTTGATAGTGAATATGAAGTCTTTCAATGGATTTGTTTCTTCTCAAGATACTATTTTATTTTTTTTTCAAATCAGTAATTCATTTTGTTTCATTTTTTTCTTTTTAAGACATATTTTTTAATCTTCCTCACCCCCCCCTAAAAAAAATGGAAAAATTATATCAAGATGTGATTGACAAGTCATCATATTACATAATATATAAAAACATCACTTGAAAACTTCCAACAGCAGCAACAACTAAAATGGTTTGCACATGTAACTAGAAGGGAAAATAATCATATAATCAAGTTGTTAACATTCTGTAGTACTTTAAACAGTAAAAACTCCCATCAATACTAGAAAGAGTAATTACAATGAACTTGAGAAGTCTATTTTCCTGAAAATCTTAGAAAGATTTTATAAATTTCAACTGTAATGCTAAAAGTTTGATTAATGAATGCCAATTTCACCATTTGATTTTGTTAAGATGAAAAGTGATTGATTTTGTTTGATTCCCAATGTCTGAGTTAAATATTCGTTGCTATTAATAGTTCAGAATTATATCATTTTTCTGTCTGTCTTTTTTTTTTTTTTTTTTTCCTTGAACTGTCTGTACAGATGTGAGGACACTATTTCTGTTTCTAATATACAATAATTTAATGGATGGATAAGGACAAAAGGTCTGTTAAACTATTCAAGCCAATCCTGCATATAACAATAAATTACATCCAGTAGCAAGGTCCATGATTGGGAGATTGGAGGTTTTGAGGAACATGGAATGACCTTTTAATTTCTGTTATTTCCAGGTCCTGACCCAAGGTGGTAGCACCTGTTAGGATCCCAGCTATGTGCAAATAGTGAAAACAAAAACAAAACACTATGAAAGAATAAAAAATACAATTTTATCAAATGACTAACAATACATTTTATCTGTAGTTGAAGGCAAACAATTATGTTTAAGATATATTTAGTTGAAGCCATAAAATTGTGTTCAAAATATTTAGATTTCAACATTAAATAACCCCTAGAGGTTGATATGCTACTAAACAAAATTAACCAACCAACATGAAAGAACACTTTCATAACATTAATCTATATAATATCTGACAGTTTCTTAAATAAATCAAAGTGTATTCCAAAATATAGCTTCAACAAAACTACAACATAAAACACACCTATCAACCCTGGCATTAAATGACCCATAAGGAGTTGATATGCCATTAAACATACAAATACAAAACTATTCAAGCTAGTTTAAACTATAAAAGTATATGTATTTTTTCTCCATATAGGATTATGGTGTGAATATTAGTTTCAAGGAAGAGGAAGTAATGTTTTTTTTTTTATTGTTTTGCCTGTCAGTAAATGAAATGTTGAATCAGACTCAGTTTCTAACTTTTTTTTTCCTGCAGATTATAAATGTTGGCATGTTCTTTCTCACCTTCCATTCTCTCTTGGCTGTTAAAATATGAATGTAAATAATGATGATATGCAATCATCACCACAAATAATTCAGTCAGCTTTTCCAATCTATAATCATTAATAAAACTTATGTCTGCCTACAAATATTTATTTCAACTTACTCTTAGATGCCTAATACAGGGGTCTTGGTAATTGTGAGGGGGGATTTTTTCTTGATACGTAATAAATGGAAATTATAAAATCATTTATAGGGTCAAAAAACATTTTATATATATATATATCTGGCCATTTGTATTTGAGGATACCAGTCTACTAGGGTGGCTAGCCAATCCCTATTGCAGACACTTTTTTTAGGTGCATTTGTGTTTCAAAAACCACAGAGCCCACCTGTGATTTATACTGCAACTCTGCAGAGCAGACCTTAGTTACAGTTTTTGGGAATGAGCGTGTTATCTAGCATGATCAACAGTTTGAACAAGGCCAGCACGCTCAAGCCCTCAGCCACGATGACTTGTGAGTTGGTGCTAGCACTAGCACAGCTATCAACAGCTCCCAAGAGTTCTGTCTACCCAATTTCACTTACAAGGCTTGGGTTAACCTGTGGTATGGTTTTCAGAACTTTCCAAAAGTGCCAAACACTGCAATTGACCCCTCAGTCTGATAACATCAGGAAGTCACCTTCCTGACAAATCAACCATGGTGAGATTTGAACCTGGGTCTCATGGTCAGAATGTGAACGTTCTAACCATGTGCCTAAAAAACATTAAAACATTAATAAATATTGAAATTAATAAACTGTTTTCTTAAACTTGTGATGAGTTTGTAAAATTTCTTCCCAGTCTTTTTAGTAATTCACATCCTTTTTCCTTGAAGAAAAAATAGATGAAAGTTCAGTCCTTACCAATAGCTTATGTTTACTTGGTTGTAGAATGGTGGCCTAAGTTGCAATGAGAAGCAGCTGAAATTAAGATGAAAGAAGTACTTGCCAGAATTTATAATGATTGACTATGCTTCATTGAATAATAACCTTCAGGATAAGAATATGCTTATTATCACTTTAATCAGTGATGAAAACAATAATTTGTTTCAGGTTTTGTTTTTATCAAGGATTCAGTACTCGCATTAACATATATTGGGTCATTGAAACTTAAAATGTGACAAATTTAAAATCTCCTGTTAAATGGAGATAATGACACTGAGGTACAAAAACAAAGTTTTACATTTAATATGTATTTTGAATTATCTTATTATAAAATGCAGATCGTGTGTGTGTGTGTGTCTGGACGTTTATATATTGGATCGGATTTTCTACATTTTTCAACCGATTTCAACAAAACTTCACAGGACTATGTAAAATTACCTTGCAGTGGTTCTAACAGCACCAAAAATTGGAAAAACACAATTGTTCTTGTACGAAATCAATTTGAAAACACGATTAAGAGGCATCATGAGAATGAAAGGGGGACAACTCATATCGAGTTATACTTATTATAAAACCGAGGTTGTTTGTGTGTTCACTTATATATGGGATCGGATTTCCTACATTTTTCAACCGATTTCAACAAAACTTCACTTTTTTTATGGCAGGTAGTGTTTCTTATTGTCTTGCACACTTTTTCTTTTATTTTTACATTCAGAATGCTTTAAAAATTCCATTTACAAGACAATTGTTTATAATAAAATTCTATTCAATCGGTAGACTCATAACGATTGAAAACAATGTTTTTGTTTGATTTTGGGTTTGACCAATTCGTAAATGTCTTATTAACTTTGTTATGAATCACAAAGACATGGTATTAATTTTACCATTAAAGTTTCAATAAAATTTACTTATTTTTTTTAATAAAAAAAAAAAATACTCACTCTGCTGAAAGCAGGTGAAAAAAAACCAAAAAAAAAAACCATCTCTACTGATTGTACGAATCCAAACATCGGATAATTCTTTATCTTTAGGGAAAGATAATTCCATGTACTTTAGGGCTGTTTTTATAATTCCCTTTGCAGTTTGGTACAAGGCATCTATAAGGAATTGGTTCTGTTTGAAATTAATTCAATATTTAAAAGAAAGTATTAAGAAATAATTTAAAAATGCCGCCATAAGAAATCTGATAGACAAAAAACAAAAACAAACAACGTGCTTCTTGTTAGTCAGACTCAATATTTCGAAGATGATAATTATTAAGGAAAGAACACAGTACTTACCTTGTACCCAACTTTTCTGCTTAATTCCTTTTTTTTTGCCGGCGAAGTCTTTTACGACGGTCTGTGTCTTGCTTCGGGGTTTATGAGAATTTTCATCGTTTCGTCAGCAAACATCGACTCATAATTGACTTTAAACTTCAATAATTGTCCACACATGGGTGCCTTTTCGGGCGCCAGGGTCATCCCCCCCCTCCTCCCGTTACGGACGGCCTCCATACATGCACTAACGCAACAGGATACGCAATATTCGCTAAGAGAGACTGGGCATTGTCACTCTCTCTTCATTCACCTAATGTTTGTATGGGGAGGCCATGGTCACTCTTACCGATTCTTTCCCCCTCCTTTAATAACAGCGATATCTACCGTGATTTTCTTTTTCACTGGCCGACGGGTTTAATAGAGGGTGGACACGTCTCCCTCTCTTTCTTGCTTTCGCTCTTCTTGTTAGCTTAAGTGTAAGTGCACTCAAGGTCAACCACCTCTACTGCGTGACTCGGGCGTTCCTCTTTCGCTGGCCGACAGGTTTAATAGAGGGTGGACACATCTCTCTCTCTCTCTTTCTCTAAGAGAGAGTGGGCATTGTCACTCTCTCTTCATTCACCTAATGTTTGTATGGGGAGGCCAGCTTAAGTGTAAGTGCACTCAAGGTCAACCACCTCTACTGCGTGACTCGGATGTGCTTTCACACTTTTGCGTTTATTGTTGCCCGCGTGCATGTACTTGGCTTATTTTATTTGCCAACTTTGGACACTGCAAGTTGTTGATTACATGTTCTAGCTGCTTTTTTGTTTTATAGTTCCAACCCAACCCTACACACGTTAGCCAATTGTACTAAAACCCCATTTCCTTTTGGATTTACCCTTGGTTTACCTTTTTAAATTTCCACTTTTTTAGTTTCGAGTTCCCCTTTAGTAACATCTGAACTCATTTTACTGAGTGTTCCCCATTTTGTGTCTACATTAGCAGTGCACGATTTTTGGATTTGTCAAAATCTCTTTTTAAGTTTTACCCTCTTTGATGTTTTTACTGTTTGGATGTCACCTAAAAGGAGAAAACTTTTGGGACGGCTCACGGCAGCGGCCTCCACTGCTAGAACAGCGAGGGCGAGTGAAACCCCTGAACAGACTTCTTTGTGTCTTTCATGGATGGCCTTGAGCTCAGCTGCTTGCTTATCTACGGAAAGCGCTGCTGTGCGGACTGAAAGGTTGGCTTCAGTGGCTTCAACCATGTCCGCACGCTGCACCAGGCTTTCAGTTGAAGAACGTTCACTTCAGAATTCACAGGGCGCAGTCCGCGTGGCTAGGTTGAGGGCTTCACAGTCCCCAGCACAGAAAACCCTTCGTCATTTGAGGGATGCCATTGCCAATGCTTGCTCCAGTGGTTTAGAAAGCCCCAAACAAACAACTTCACATCATCATAGGAATACTAGGGCTACAGTCGCCTCTAGAGCTTCGGAACAACCCCAAGAAACCGCTCATTGTCGCGTTATAAATGCCTGCTCCACTGCATCTGCTAGAGCCCTAGAAAGCCTTGCACAGACCACTGTTCGTCGCGTTAGAAATGCCCACCCTACTGCATCTGCCAGGGCTGCAGAAAACTCTGAAGTATGCCGTCAACGGCTTGAAAACATTAGCCAACTTCGAGCTTCTTTGAATGGAATTTTACTATCATCTTTTTTGGTCAAATGCCGCATACAATTATCAACTGTCAACTATTCCGCTGGGAGAAATGTACAAATAGGGCCATGGATAAAGTTTACACTTTTTTGCAACCTGGACCAGTGAGCAACCTGGGCTTTGTTGCTCTGGGGCAAAATCAAACTCCTTTTTTAGATGAACCCCAGCCACTTAGGGACCTCCTTCTGTGTACAACTTTGGAGTCAACGCATTTTCTTGAAGCAATATAGAAGTACAAATGTTGCTTCCAGATGACGTCTTTTGGTGCGAAGGCTATTAGTGAAGGCTATTAGTGAAGGGGGATGGATGCCTACTTTCAAAGTGCAAGGCCAGGTTTACCACTTAATGGGATCACTTTTGGCTGATCAGGGAGAGCCACCTCAGTTCCTACAAATTTACTTTCTCGCTGACTACAACGAGCAGGTTGATGCATGTCTCGGCATTCTGCCAACCGATTTTTCTGTCGGTCGCCGTAGAGACATTCTGTTCCATCTACAAGACATGCTTCACGAAACTAACAGTTACATCCAAAGCTTAAAATTTGTGTTGCAAAACAACTCTTCGCCCTCTTTCAGCGTTGTCATTGATGCAGACAGACCACTTCACAGTGAGCATGAGCGTCGCTTCATTGCTCCTGCATGTAATGAAGTCGCCACAGTCATCCACGGTGAGAAGCATAACAGCCGTGACATTGTCATAAAATACCAGAGTGGTGGTCTGCGCGCATCAGTGAAACCCACTGTTCATCGACTGTCTCCAGTACCCCTTCTTTTTTCCATACGGAAGCGATGGATACCACTTCAAAATCCCAATATACCAGGCAAGCAGTGATTCCATGTCAACCTCAAAGGTCTCCTGTAGGGCTTACTACGCCTACATGTTTATGGTTAGGGAGGGTGAATTTAACCACTTGCACAGATGCCGTCAACTATTTCTTTAATTCGCTGTTGACATGGCTGCAAAATTGGAGTCAGAGAGGTTAGGATTCATCAAGTTAAACCAATCCAAACTTAGAACTGACTTCTACATTCACCTTCGTGATAGTCTGTGTTCTGATGGTGACCCACCCAATCTCGGCAAACTGTGCATCTTGCCTTCCTCTTACACTGATGGCCCTCAATACATGCATGAAAGGTCACAAGACGCAATGACCTATGTCCGTCATTGTGGGAGGCCTGATTTGTTTGTCACGTTCACATGCAATCCGAAATGGGCTGAAATCACCGCTTTAAAATTTTTCCAGGTCAGCAGTACTCACACCGCCCTGACCTAATTGCCTGCATTTTCGGTTACGTGCTGTGAGCTTATGGATTTAATCCTTAAAGGGCAATTCTTCGGATAAGCGTTAAGTGTCATATGTATACAGTGGAATGGCAGAAACGCGGTTTGCCTCATGCCCACATTCTGCTGTGGCTCAACAATAAGGTTGACCAAACAAAATAGACAATTTTATTTCAGCTGAAATTCTGGATCCTGTGCTGGAGCCTTTGCCCCACAAAATCATTAAAAACAATATGATACACGGCCCCTGTGGGTGAATTACGAAAAAAAGGTCATGTTGGTCAAGTGGCCCCCACTTGCGCAAAGGGTTACCCCGTAATTTTATCTCAGAAACGCCAGACTCGCGACAGATGGTTACCCACTGTACAGACGTAGAAGCCCCACTGAGGGCGGCAGAACTGTGACAGTTAAAGGGCACACTCTGGACAATCGTTGGGTGGTGCCTTATTGCCCGCTGTCCATCTGCCCAATAGGTTAATAAAGGCAGTGATGCTGCCATCTGCGGTATCCGGTAAAGGCACAATTGCGTCTTGACGACAGGTGGTTGATTATGTGGCTGGACGCTACCTCAGTAGTAGCGAGGCCTTTTGGTGAATTTTCGGATTCCCCATACACCAAAGGGCTCCAGCTATTGTTCAGCTTTCTGTTCACTTAGAAAATGGACAGAGGATGTACTTCACCGAACAGAACGCCCAGCAGGTTGCGGAAAACCCTAAAGACACAACCCTAACAGCTTTCTTTAAATTATGCTCAACAGATGCTTTCGCCAAAACATTGATATACCCCCAAGTCCCGTCCTACTATGTGTGGTCAAACAACCGGTGGGTTCGGCGGAAGGCTGGTGACCTTGTCGAGGGTTATCCTGATGTAAGGTCTAACTTTTGCCTTGGACGCGTTTCTACTGTGTCCCCCAGCCAGCAGGAGTGCTTTTACCTCCACCTTCTACTTCATGAAATTGCTGGGCCAACGAGTTTCACAGATATTCACACTGTCAACAGCATAGAATGCCAGTCTTATAGAGAGGCATGCTTCCGTTTGAGATTGCTTGAAGACGACTCCCAATGGGATGCAGCCATGGCGGAGGGTGAACTTCTCAGAATGCCATCACAGCTTCGAACGCTATTCGCCATTTTGCTTTTGCGATTTGAACTAAGCGATCCTCTGTCGCTCTGGCTAAAGTACAGAGAATCCATATCAGAGGATGTGCTGTTCTCCGTTCAGCGTAACAGCCCAGGAGTTGAATGCGTTTTCACTGACTTCATATTCAACAGAGTGCTGGTGGCCCTAGAAATGTTGTTTTCGAACTGGGAGGTGCCTCTTTACCAACTTACGGTTTACCACCACTGCTCAGAGACGGTTTTGACACTGTACCAGCTGAGTTATTGCGGGAAACATCCTACTCCATCGAGGGGCTGAACGCATACATTACCGAAAATGAGCCCAAACTTCTACCTGATCAGAGGGTTGCTTTCACTACCATAACAGACAGGGCAAACGGCTCCAGTGGAGGTATATACTTTTTAGATGCACCCGGAGGAACTGGCAAAACTTTTGTTACCAAATTAGTCCTGGCAGAGGTACGGCGTTGTGGGGAGATCACTATTGCGGTCGCATCTTCCGGGATTGCTGCAACATTGCTACCGGGAGGTAGAACCGCTCATTCGGCTTTTAGGTTGCCGCTTGATCTATGCTGGTCACAAACTCCTCTCTGCAACATAACAAAGAATTTGCCACAGGCTGAAGTTCTGCGGAAATGCAAACTTATAGTTTGGGATGAGTGCACAATGGCACACAAGGGCGCCCTTGAGGCACTTGATCAAAGTCTCCAAGACATCCGCGACTCCTCCGACCCCATGTGTGGAGTAACCCTTCTCCTTGCAGGTGACTTTAGACAGACTCTACCTGTTATTCCTAAAGGTACATGCGCTGACACTGTCCGCGCCTGCCCTTTGACGCTATGTGGAGACTCTTAAACTGAGCACGAACATGCGTGCCTACTTGAATGGGGACTCCAGATCCGCTGACTACGCTCGGAACTTTCTTGCTCTTGGGGAGGGGAAAATGCCATCTGACACACATGGTTTTGTGAAGATGGATCAGCTTGCCACCACTGTTGAATCACCGGATGTATTGATGAATGCAGTCTTCTACAACCTATCATCTAATTTTGCCGATGACGATTGGCTTGCTGGGAGGGCCATATTGGTACCGAAGAACTGTACAGTTGATTCCATCAACCTTAAACTGTTGGATTGCAATCCCATGTTTATAAGTCCATCGACAGAACTTCCGATCCATCTGAATTAGCTGAGTATCCCATAGAAGTTTTGAACTCCTTCAGCTGTCCGGACTCCCACCTCATATTCTTTGGCTCAAAGTTGGTGCTCCGATTATGCTAATCAAGAATTTGCTCCCCACCTAAACAGTGCAACAGGACTCACCTCATTATTAAATCCCTTTCTCCGAACCTGATTGAGGCGACCTTTGCAACTGGCTGCGGCAAGGGGAAGTCGTTCTGATTCCCAGGATGCATCTTCTGTCATCAGACGCAAAACATATCAATCAACTTTTATCGCTCACAATTTCCCCGTGAAGATTTGCTTTGCTATGTCCATTAACAAATCACAAGGACAGATGCTTAGCATCACAGGTCTGCATTTACGTGGCAGTGCTTCTCTCACGGCCAACTTTTACGTTGGGTGCTCATGAGTTGGGTCTAAGGACAGGGTTTTCATTTACTCTCCCAACAACTGTGCTAGAAACATAACCTACACGGAGGTCCTATAGACAACCCGCCCGGTAGCGTTTAAGCGCCATGCACACATATGCAGTCCGATTGCATGGCAATTTTTTTGTTTGTCATATTGGTTTTAACGTTAGGTCATCATAGTCTCCACTTGCCATTACTAAGACATCTTTGTAAAGGTTATCTAGCTCTTTTGCTGCCTTCTGACTTTCATACCATCACCCGCCATCACTGCGTTTGTTTTCCCTTCAATTCCTATGTATGTTGCAACTAAATCGTGGTTTCTTGACTACTTACCACAAGTGCTTCCAGTAATGCTTAATGATCCAATTGGTTAAAGCAGTAACTGCTGCCAGCTTTTACTTACATATGTCTTAGTAATGGCAAATGACTGATGCTACAACAGCTTTCCGTTACTTCCTTCGATACCTTCGAATACTTGGGCCTGCATGATGTCTGCTTAAACTTTGTGTGCATAGCGTTTCGATGTTTTGTAGAAACTTAGTTCCTGTCGACTTACAAAGCACATCTTTCAAAGCAACAGCCGTCCCCAACTCTTACTGTTACATCCCTGGGCAACGCCGGGCTCTACTGCTAGTCTGGGATAAAATGTCTGTTCTTTGCATTTCAAACAAATATTTGCATTGCTCATGTTTCCCAATTAATAAAAAGCTTTTATAACTCTATCTACTGTAAATCTGCACACTTAAAATCCCTCAACTTTTTATTTTAATAATGTTAGAAATATTTCTTGTTTTATCAACTTGATAATAATATGAGGAATTCAATTTCCTGTCTTTGATTTATATACATAAACTAATCCAGTAGGGATATGAAATTCATATTCTGATTAGTTTGGTTTAATTTGTTTTATAGCATATCACCCTCAATGGGTTATTTAATGCCAGCAAGATTTTTATTGTTGGTAAAAAAAATTTTTTTTTCCAAAAATGTATTGCTGGTAATATTTGTTTTTCTTAAAAAATGTATTGCTCATAATATTTTTTATAAAAATGTATTGTTGCTATTAAAACCTATTTTTACACTTTCATAGTGTTTTGACCCAAGTTTGGGGATAAACTATTTGCCCATAGCTGGGACCCTGACAGGTGCTACCACCCCAGCTCAGTGTGGACCTGGGAACACCAGCAATTAAGAGGTGGTCCCATGCTCCTCAAAACCTCCTGATCAAAGGCCTTAGTTTATCATCTTACCCAGGACACAGATGTAGTTTGTCTTGCCCAGGACGCTCATATTCTGATCCAACTGCTGGCGTAACCATTTTAGTTTTAGTGAAATTACAAGAAAGCACTTGAGATTTACATGAATGCTAGCCTACTGTATTTGACGGAATCAAAATTTTAGCGTATTTACGGGTAAACCTGGCTTTCAGAATGGATGAATTTTATATATCATCAAATATCATACTTTACAACAACCACAAGTATTATGCTGATGTCAGCTTATATATTTGGCATGTGATTCTGGAAATGGCTTATAAATGAGTTGCATATGTTTTTGGTGATGATGTAAAAAAAACAAAAAAAAAAACAAGTCAGTATTTATCTGAGATGTTTGAATTGTGGAAAAATTACTCTCTTTTGGCATTATTTGATGTTATATTATGTGCTAATAAGAATATATACTTGACAAACACGATGGATAAATAAATAATGGTTTATTGTAGAAACCAGTACAATAAGAAATAAGGTAACGGTTATGTGCACGATTGTTGCAAGTCAATTCAGTAGTGAGTGCTGCTATTGGAAGGTCGATAGTTCTTGCATTAGTCTGAGTCATACTC